AGGAACGAAAAGTTTATCACCGTTGGAAGATCCCTCATTCTCATGTCTGGGCAAACTTTTAACACCCTTCTTTTCATGAAATTGATCGTAAGCTGCTGATCTCCGTTTCTAAGCCATCAGTCAGGAGTGGTTCATTTTTTAAAGCACAGTCTACAGCCACGTGACAAGTGTAGCGTACAATTTCCTGCTTCGTTTCCACAGACTGATGCTCAGTCATCAACGTCGGAAGGAATATAAGCGAGTGACCTTGACTGAGGCTTGAAATCGGGATCCATCACTTCTGAATTCGACTCTCTATCGACTGAGCAATCTGGATCTGAAACAGCGCGTGTTTCGTGTGGCAAATTTTTTATTCAAGGGAATCCATGAATAAGACAAAGATATGCCCTCGAGCGGAATCGAACCCAGCATTTCTGGAGTACGAAGCAGACCTCTTAGACAACTGGGCCAATACACCAGCTATCTAGGGGATTGTTTAAGCAGGCAACAGCTGCATGGCATTTTACCACCTGCAACCTGTAGTGAATCGGCGACAAAACACCGAGACTTATTGGGTCGAAGCCAAATCAAATTCAAACGTCAACGGATATACCATGATCGGTAACCCGGAAACGATCGGTTTACCAATCAACCGATAATTTTCGAGTTCGCTCCAAAGAATAGCAATCTAGTGTCTATTCAACGGATACGAAGAAGTGAAGGAGTAGTGTGACGAGTATGACGTTCGAATGAGTAACTGACAGGAGATCGAAAACTAATAGTTTGCTAATAAATCCAAACGAGTCTTAAAAAATGTTTTATACCGCATCACTCATTTTTATATCCGTCATTGTCACACCATATCCTTCCATCCTCCACCTGCTCCATTTACCACGTCTTGTGCTGATTGCTACAGCTTAGGAGTTACACGCTCGTACGAAATTTGCTACAGCAAATACACCAAAACTTAGAGTTGAAATTGAGAAACAAGGTCGGCTAATGTGACGACCTCTTTAAAGGTTGGAACGACCCGGCGACTTTTCCGTTGTCACTCGTTCATTGGATATTTGACTCACGTTAGAAAGCGCTTAACGATTCGGTGACTTGTCGGTTCAACCTTCGATCAGCCTCTGTCAAGCGAGAGAGCAGTCGTGGAGCAAAAAGGAAGTACCGCATAGGCAGGAAACGGTGGCCCGACGGAGCGATCCATTTCCGGGAAGTTTTTCTCAATGCCGCTCCGCTTCCAACTGTTCATCGTATCTAATTTTATACGTACAGTAATAGTACTATTGGCACCTTCTAACTTTCGCAGCTTCCGGTAAATGGTCATTAATCTCCTCCTCCCCCTCCGTCGGATACCCGCAAGAGAGCAACCAGAACTGCAGTACATTCGAAGGCGTATTATTCTTTAGATGCTCTGTTATACAGAAAATTTTTAGAATGGACATGCGCAGTAGATACCGACCGGAAGAGTATAACCGTTCGAAGGATCACGGAAATGACGAGGTTCGACAAGCATCAGAACATCGGATAAGATAGGTTCTCCAGATCGATATCTGGAGATCGATATATCGTAATTGCGATTATCATGCAGATGAGATCAGAATTCCGGAGGAAAAAAATTCACAAGTCAGACTCCTTTAGTAAAGCAGCAAAAACAAAAGCCAAATCTTAACCGTACACCAGATGATATTTTAGTGTACGTGGAATCGCCTTCCGTAAGAATTCAGCACAGGGAGCTTATTTTATTGAAACCATCTGAAAAATTTCGCGCAGCTGCCGCCGCTGCCAATCGTAAGTAAGACCGGCCTTTGAAAGTTGATGAATGAAAGTTTGTGAATAAAAATATCAGTCACACGATTCGACCTTTTGATGTCAACGTGTGGGTCAAAAAAGACTTTAAACCACTTACTGTTTTACGCTATGCCGAGTTGGGGTACAGCAACAGAGATTACACTTTCGACTGATCATCACTTAATAACCAGCAATCGGGCAGGTCAGTGCGATTCAAAGCCATATGACACGTTCCCGTCATAAACGTGGCCGTACTTCGCGCCCATCTAACATGATCGCACCAAACTAGAATACTACCCCCGTTGTTTGCAAGTGGGCGACTTACTACCCATTTCTGCTATGAGGCGAACGTAAGGCAAATTTCTTGTTCAAAGCACAGTGATGATCCTTTCTACGGATTCAGATCCATCATTTTGTTTCCATTGTGCCATCCCTCAAATAAGCAGTAACTTAACAGAGTCTCGCAGTGCTTAGAAGTCGTTAACTAGAATCGAAAACTATATTTATCGATGAAACGAAATATGCTGGGTATTTCTGATCATATGAATATTTGCGGATAAAAGTACATCGCTTGCTTTCTTCTGTTACTTCATGAATTAGGAAAAGGCTTTAGCGAATTATACTTTCCTGTATCACTAACGTGTTTCAATTCCCCAAACCGGCATCGCCCTCAGGGTTAAAATGTGCATAAGAGACTACAAGATATCAAGAAAAACCACAGTTATGCAACGCCTGAGTGATACGATCGATTAATCTTCACGAACTAGTTTGTCGAAGAGGCACTGCATTTATCACTCAAATGAAACAAGCTCGTACATTCGTTCGTTACATACGTCAGCCAAAGTTCTTCGATCAATAAGCCGATGGTTGGCGTTCCCCGTCAATCCCCCAATTGATTAAACAAGCATCCAACATAAAAGGCATGCAACAAAATGTTGACATATTTATAGAAGTTTCGTAGGTGCTTTCCTATCTGATGTTGATGTGGTCACAATCGTGCCCTGAATCTTATATATGTCATGGCTATCTAACAAAAATTAACGCCGGTATTGTGGGTGTGACAGAAAACTGCTAGTTTTCAATTCTGCTCTTAAAAGTGACATTTTCTGTTTACCCCTGCGGCTCTGCAGGGCGTAGCGCACCGTTCCTTTGTTTTTAGCAGGCTATGGGGCCATTTAA